GAGGCCGTCAGCGGGGGCGGGAGACAACAGTCCGGAGCTCAACATACGCCGCAAGTGGCCAGGTAAAGCGGGGATCGAGAATGGGGCGAAACGAAATTGGTCAGAGGGTGGGAGGCCAGATTGGGATGTGGCGTCCAAGAAGCGCCCGACAAGAAATCGAAAGAATGAAGGAGAAAAAAAGTAAAGGTGCAAGAAGTGCAAATGGAGGGACCCGGGGAAAGTTCCCCACGAGGTATTGGACAAGACCAGAAGAGTACGTGGTGTAACGCTCAAAAGAAATTAAATGCGTGAGCATAGGGGCATTTGAGGCCGACAACCCAGAATTTTTTCAACCAAGGTAGGAGGCAGATTGACATCAGGGGGAGGAAATTCACTTGTTGGCGGCCTTCCAGGTTGAATGAAGCCCGACAGGATAAATGGAGCGCGCGGAAGGGTTTGATGACACCCCAATCGTGGCCCAGGACGAGATACGGGAGACCAGTAGTAACCGCGAGCATTATGTGCAGAGATCAGACATTGTTGTCAGACGGAAGAGTAAGGAGACCAGAGGCCACAGATTGAAGAGCCGGCATTCAGAGGTCAAGAGAGACCAAAGACTGCCGGGAGAGAGGCGCAAAGCGCGTCGCCATTACGAGACGACTGACTCATCGCTGGCAAGCGGAGAATAGCCCGAAACACTTTGGCAGATTTTCGGAGAACATTCTGAGATTCAATTCGCGAATCATCACGTTTTGCAAGCCGAGGAGTTGGCCGACACATTTTGGCAGAGAAAAAAGGTGATTACGCGAAAACTGCTGACGAAAATGTGATGCACGCCCAAAAGCAAAAATTAGGGCTCTCATAAGACCCTTACCTTACGGTAGCGGGAATCACATATCAAATGATGTTTTGCGTTATCAAGTTATGTTTTACAAGCTGTCCAGTCCTTGTTGCCATACAATCGGTGTGTTTCTGAACTCGTGGTGTTCGGAATTCAAACGCTGGCATACCTCCCAGGTCCTCTCTCCCTCTCTCCGAGAATCATTCGGATGCAAGCCGCACCTCTAGACACTTATCAGTACCTTGCAACTAACACCCCCATATGCATTGACTTGAATACGCAGCTGAATCCTTGCTTATACGTTCTCAACAAAACTGAAAACAAACCGAAGCGCAGTGAGACAATAAACAGAGATCACCGGGCGACGGACGACGCCAGCGGCCCGTGCTTACTCTATCCCCGGATGCAGAATCAACCTCAGAGGACGGGCAGAAAGGTAGTTAATCAATTATATTGCACCTCTATAAAGGGACGATACCCACAAGCCCAGCGCTGAATCCCGCCGTGAAACAATACATCACATCCGGCGGTCCGCGAGCAGTTGTTGACGACTCCACGCACAATTAATCGGAGACCCATGTCCCGCAGAAAAGCATGCACAGTGGGTGGTATTCAAATATTCAGCAGCAGAAGAAAGGAGTCGCGCCAACCGAGAGCGAGAAGACGCCTCCGAGTCTTGATTTTTTGCGCGCGAGTACCTTGTACTTGACGGGCGCCGCACGCGGATCTCGACACGGCGCGCGAGGCGGGACGGGGCTTGCTGAGGGAGGACGAGCCGTCGTTGTTACTGTTGAGATTGCGTAACTTGAGGCGGTCCCGTGCGCAGACCCAAAGAAGACATCTTGGCACCGACGGAGCGCGTCTTGTATCGGCGTTGAAACGGAACGCGGCGGTTGTCGTATTGATATTGGGATTGGTAGTGCGTTGAGGTGGTCTTGTGCAGGGTCCAGAGAAATCCGGCGGGAAGTGGGTCTCGCTTCAGCATCGGTATCGGGGGCTTGAGGTCCTGGAACGCCGCGATCTTGGTATTAGGATTGTCCTTGAGTCGCTTGAGGCAGGGTTGCGCTCGGGTGCCCAGGGAATGAAATATCTTGCCGATTGCGTCGCGCATGGTGCGCGGGGATGGGTGAATAAACAGGAAAGAATGCGCTCGAAGATACCTCACCACAAGCGCATAGATTGCCTGCACGCCCGAGAGACGAAGATGCCTGCGGCGCGGGAAAGAGGATGCCTCTGGCGGGAAGAGGAAGCCTGCAGCGCCCAAGGAAAGAATGCCTGCGGTGCGAGCAAGGGAGACTTGCTCGCCGCCACCCTCTCCAGTAACGCGCGCGCATACTGCCCCGCGTTCTGCCCCCCGGCAAATACGGCGCCAACAGCCCCGGCGCGACTCTCACGCTGAAATCCTCCAACAGAATCAGCGCAAACATATACGCGGGCTGCGGGCACTACAGGCTCGCTCTAACCGCCGCGAGGTGGAGGTACGGGAGGGCCTCGGCGGGGGAGACGGACAGCCCGAGCTGGCTGAGAAGGTGCGCGGCGCCGACGCGGTGGAGCGCGGCGGGCTCGGTGGCGCGCGCGCCGCGGGTGAGGCAGTCGAGGGCGTGGGCCGAGTCGTTGAAGGCCTCGTAGTCGCGGGCGAGGCGGAACCACGCGGGGGCGTAGCCCGTGCGTGCGGTGGCCTCAAAGTCGCGGAAGGCCGCGCGCGGGTTTGCTGGCAGTAAGTTGGGGTAAGCGCCAGAGGCGGCGAAGGTTGCGCGGAGGTGAAGGGCCTCGGGGACGGCTGCGCTTGCCAGAGACAGGACGAGGGGGGCGGCAGCGAGGGCGAGGGGAGAGGTGGAGAGCGATGGGGTGCGGTCGACGAGGAAGAGGACGTCGCGGGCCCAGGCGAGCTGCAGCTGGGGGTCGTGGGAGGGGGCGGTGACGGTGGGGAGCGCGGCGGTGAGCGCGGCGGTGGACGGCAGCGGGACGGTGAGCGACCCGTCACGCGGCGGCGACGGCAGGCGTGGCGGCATCGGTGACGGCGTGCGGGCGGCGGCGGCGGCGACGGCGGGGGCCCACGGCGACCAGTCTGCACCCTGCGGCGGCGGGAGTGCCGACGGCGGGCGGGGTTGTATGAATGCTGAAGCTGAGCTGTTGTCGAGATCGCGGGCCATCTGGAGCGTGGAATCAGTATCATCCCGATCCCAGCACCAGCCCCACAGCAGCAGCGGGCAGTCGCGCATGAACCACACCATCGTCGACTACTACGTAAAATCGACTACCAACTCACGTTCGCGCCTAGGCTCGGGTCCACGCGGTGCGGCCGTGGCGCTGCCAGCGGGTTATCGAAATGCGGCGGGGATTCAAAGGTAAGGTGCGGCGTCGGCGTCGCAGAGTATGGGCGGGGAGGAACCGGCGGGAGAGACATGCAGAGACACAGACGAAGACGGATTAAATATTTCTATTTTCGGGTGCACAGCCGGCGCTTGGTAGCCGACGTGGTATTTCCCGTGATTTTTATTACACACATCTTCTGGCGCGCATCTGGGATGCTCAGCACCGCACTCGCTCCTGCCAGCCCTCGATGCACCGCCATGAAACCAACCGCAGCACTCGCGAGCGGCTTTATTCAAGCGCAGCAACCAAGGGGGTCCGGGCCGGTGAAGCCGGGACGCAGGGCAGGTAGGTAGGTTCGGCCGTCAGGCCGAAAAAAAAAAGAAATGACCTCTCAGTAAGTGGTCCAAATGGGCCAAAATGACTTCGGCGCAGCTCGACGGAGCTCATTTCTCATATCCAATGTGTTCTAAGCTTCAACTGAACACGCTTGCATCAAATTGGGTCTCAATGGGTGCTATTTGGCACAACCATCTATCAAATCACGCGCAAATAGAGTCTTCTGCCACCAGTTATTAGAGTTATTCCCGGGGTTGCTCGGGGACCAGAGGTAACTACATGCTCGGGATGCAAGTGCACTCTGCGTGATGTAGGCGACGCCTCCGTTTGTGTTTGCGGACAATCTGCAGAGATTTATGACCCGGAGAACTCACATGTACGATGCAAGGTCAAAGGATACGAGACGAAATGGGTGGGTAGGAGCCTCTTTCGATGACTCTCTGGTCTCACGAGTGCCATTTAGTATCATATATTCTGTATGGATTTATCCACGGCCCCATCGGAAGGCTGGGCATGCGACCCTTGCATTCACTCGGGGGCAACTCGCGGTGGGAAAAGACGGCGAGGTGGGGGATGATTGGAGTAATAGAGGGCTAGAGGATTTCTAGATTCATGGGGGAGCCATTTTATTTCTCTAGATAGCTAGCCTTACGCTAGGTTTCGCCCCTGTCTGACACGGCACGTGAATAGTTACCCGATTTGGACGTCACGTGGTAGGTAGGTCCGCGGAAAGGGTCGCAATGAAAAAATACGGCCCAAGTGGGTTTTTTCACGGATCAGAACCCCCTTGGCAGCAACCATGCAGCACCACAAATCCCGCATGCGGATCGGTATCGAACGCGGATCACCCGAAGAGTGTCTATGTCCGCAAACTTGCGGTTGCGATGTTCTGGGATCCGCAGGTCCTTGCTGCACGGAACGCTCTTCTCAACTCGAATCCTCGTGTTGCCACCCAACGTCGCCTCCGCGGCCTCTTCCCACAGTACTCCGACTCCGACTCCGACCCGCTTCCCACCACACACGCTGCGTTCCTACCTCTCGCTTAGACTCGCTTCTGCCTCTCGACATCATATCCACCCATGTACTTACCGCAGGATGAGTTTATGTTTCTACCGCAGAATGAACTCGTGGAGAGCCATTTATTATTATTCAACACTCGCCTCTGAGTCACCAGACTGAGAGTGATCAGCTCAATTGTACCTACTTATCTCACCCTGTACCACCAACAAGGAAGATCTGATAGCACAACTGGCTAGTGCACCGGCTCAACTTGATTGAAGTCTCTTCGGCTTCAGCAGGAGATTCCCGTTCGATCCGGGGTCATATGGTGGTACCGTGGTTCTTTTTCTCAATTTGTCTCATTACTGGCTAACATCCTGCGGGCCTCATTTTTTACTCTAAAGTCGCCCTTCTGCTAAAACGACAGTCAAGCCCAGCCTAGAAACTCCAATTTCTTTTTGGTTTAACCTGCCCGATCAGGTTCACGTCCCGCTTCCTACTAATACCACAGCACACAAAGTCTAAGAAAGATCTGATAGCATAATTGGGTAGTGCACCTGCTGGAAATATTTGTTAATTCTGCATAAAGCAGGAGATCTCCGTTCGATCCGGGGTCAGGTCATGAGGCATGCTCTCAGTCTTTTTTCGGCTTTCAATTTTTCTCAACTGAATGGCTACATATAATGCTGCTGGTTTTGTTATTCTTATCCCGCAGCCGCTCTTCCTTGCTCTGATTAAATTACAGCCGCGGATTATCCGAGCACGCTATTATTTTATTTTAGTTGAACCCTCCTAAGCGGTCGGCTGTTCAAGCTTTCAAGTCCCTCTTTGTACGACTTATACCACAGTAAAGCAGGTATACAAAAGGCCTGATAGCATAATTGGTTAGTGCACCTGCCAACATAGGCAAGGGGTAGGATTTTAGGCAGGAGATCCCCATTCGAGCCGGGGTCAGGTCGTTGTCTTGAACTGATATGTTTTTGTCCTCAATTTTTGTTCTGTCTTTCAACTGGCTGCGCAGCGTCCCGCCGCACTTCGACGGTGCCAATTTTCCTGCTCTCACTCGAGTGAAATGACAGTCATTGATGCAGGAAAGCCGCAATTTCTTCACTTGCATCTCCGAGTCCGCCCAAGAAGTAGTTGAATCCGATGCAAATTTGAAATTTAAACCCGGGCTCAAGGTTCAATTTCATAACACTGGAGGCAAGCGCCCTGGGCCTGGGTTCATGGCATAAGTCTGACACTTGCCATGGCACTTGCCACGGCACGGGCTCCGCATTGTTTGGACAAAGAGGTGTAAAAATATCATTTGCAACGAGGCCAGCTTCCCGGATCAAACTCTTCCGGCTGTTTTGGCAGCGCTTCGGCACTCCGAGCCTAGGCCTCTTTCAAACTCCGCTAGATGCCGAGCGCTCTTTCGCGTTCTGATTCTCTGGGTTCACGACCCAGGCAAATAATTGCTTATACTCATCAGAGCATAATAACCGAGAGACAATAGACTCAACCCGTCTGCATTCTGTGGAGCATCCGTAGCAGGAAAAATGGGCAAGCAAGTTATAATAATCCTTTCCAGCCAAACCTGTGTTGATTATGGCTCAAATCCTTTGCAAACAACCATCAATCACCGTACTGCTGGCGGCTCAACCCTTCCTTGGTACAAAATTCCCCTAAACCGTTGCGTGACCTAGCTCTCAGCCACCGGAGCCCCCCTGCGCTGCATTTTCAAGGCACCCGAGCATCATATTTTGGCATTGGGAATGGAGATCAGAGTTGTCTTGGATATCAATGAACGTTCACATTTCGTGTACAGCATCCATCATTCATTTCTCTTTTGTTCTCTTGTCTCGTGTATTTTGGATGCCAGCCGGACCGGCCGTGTGATACTACCGATGTACGTACCTACCTACAACAAGGATGGCGGGCCCAAAAGAAATGCAACCCTCCACATAAGAGGAGTACGGAGACAAACTACATGCATTCTAGGTGGGTGCAGTGCTTGCCTAAATTTCAGCTCATGAAAACGAGGTAGAGAACTCGTGCGGGGGTGGCGTGAGAAGAGGAGATGCCGAATGGCGGCCTTCGTAACAGCCTGATGGTCCGGACCAACTGGCCTCATTGCAGATATTTTTACATCTCTTTGTTCAAACATGCAGTGCCGTCGCAAGTGCCATGGCAAGTGTCGGCCTTATACTGTGAACCCAATCCCACGGTCCTTGCCTCCAGTGTAAGAAAAATCTCATAGCATAATTGATTAGTGCACTAGTGCACCTGTTCGACATATTGTGTTTGTGAATATTCAGCAGGAGATCCTTGTTCAATTCGGGGTCAGGTCATGTTGCAGAGGCCTCCCCTTTTTCTTTCATTTTTTGGGCAACTGGCGGCGCAACTGGCTATATAACAGTCTGCGGTGCTCGTTTTAGTATTTCAAAGTTGCTCTTTTTTCCTCAGATGAAATGACGGTCAAGGATTCTCCGAGCGAGGTACAATTTATTTGGTTGAACCCATCCAAAGTTGAACTACTGAAGTTTACCTTTCTCCCACTTGTACCACAATAAATCCAGCATAAGAAAGGCCTGATAGTACAACTGGTTAATGCACCTGCCGAAGTTCACCATTGCAACATGCTTTATCTAAGCAGGAGATCCCCGTTCAATCCGAGGCCAGGTCATGTCGGAAAGGGAGAGTCTTTTTATTTCATTTTTTGGGCAACTGCCTACACAGCAGCCTGCGGACCTCATTTTACAAGGGTGTTTTAATGTTGAACGTTGAGGCCTCCTTGCCCAAATAAAATGAAATGACAGCCAACCCCAGGATCACGAGTAATATAGAGCCTCTCAAAGGCGGGTTTTCAAGGTTCTCCTTTCGTACCTATTATATATCACAGTAGACGAGATATAAGAAAGAACCGATGGCATAATTGGGTAGTGCACCTGCTGAACATAGTATTCTTGAAAGATCTTGAAGGCAGGAGATCCCTGTTCAATTTGGGGTCAGATCATGGTCCTTTGGGTTGTGAGATTTTTGTCCCAATTTTTCTTGTCTCGCACCTGTCTACATACAGTAGGATCCTGTTGGCCTCGTTTTCTCGTCCAAAAGCCGCTCTTGTTTTCTCAAATGAAACATGAAATGAGTCAAGCCAGGATCCTGAGTAGAGAGCCATAATGTATGGTATATTAAATCAGAGTTGATCTGTTCAACCTCATCTTGGTACCACTTATACCACAGTAGACTAGGCATAAAGAAGACCTGATAGCATAATTGGATAGTGCGCCTGTTGAACATTGTAAATGTACTCTTCAAAGGTTTTCAAGGCAGGAGGTCCCCGTTTGATCTGGGGTCAGGTCATATGGCTAAAATTTGCCTCTTTTTTGGCTTTCAATTTTTCTTAACTGAATGTCTCATCACATCCTGCGGAGCTCATTTCTATCTCCAAAAGTCGCTCTTCCTTGCTAAAATGACAATCAAGCCCAGACCTATTTATTTTTGGTTGAACCTGCCCGATCAGGTTCATGTCCCGCTTCTTTGTCCATTTTATACTACAGCAGACCAGGCCCAAGGAAGACCTGATAGCATAATTGGCTACTGTGCCTGTTAAATTATATTTCTTCCCAGATGTCCAAAAGGAGATCCTTGTTCGAGCCGGGGTCAGGTCATTCCAAGAATTTGGACTTTTTTCTTTCAATTTTGCTTCTAACTGGCTATCTTGTTGCTGGGCTCATTTCCTTATCCCAACGCTAGCTTCCTTGCTAAAATGACAGTCAAGCCCGGCTAGAAGCTCCAATTTCTTTTTTGTTTAACCTGTCCGATCAGGTTCACGTCCCGCTTGTTTGTCCTACTTATATCATAGTGGAAGAGGTCTAAGGAGGACCTGATAGCATAATTGGTTAGTGCTTTTGCAACTCATACCATGAATAGTGGCAAGATTTGGCAGGAGGTCCCCGTTCGATCTGGGGTCAGGTCATTGTCTTGGACTGTGTTTCTTTTTCCTCAATTTTTGTTGTCTTTCAACTGGCTGTGCGCCGTCCCGCCCCACTTCGACGGTGCCGATCTGCTCTTACTCGAGTGAAATGATCTAAGCAGGCTGATTTATTTTGGTTGACAACTAAGCGAAAAACAATAGACACCTTTCGATTTTAGAGCAAAGTTCGGGCCGAGCTTCGGCTCCGCCAACCGTGCTAATTTTAGCTCCCACTCTCGAGTCCACGTCCACTAGCCAATGCGTAGCTATGGGCCTCTGCATATCTTGGAGCCGTGAAACGTTCAATATGGAGCCTCAACCGGCCTCAACAGTGTTTCTTTCAACTGCCCATCATGGCCGCTCGGTTTCATATGAAGGCCAATTGCAGCCTACCTTCTCGGCCTCGGCCCTCTCCTTCTTCCTACAAAAAAGCAGGGTCAGTGGCAAGCACGCAAGCAGCCCTACAGCGGGATATTTGATGGGATCCAAATCCCTCCTCGGCTCAAACAAGATCCCATTTTGAGACAATTTCATGGTGGGGCTTGTGTAAGATCAAGTCAAGATGCCGCTCGGCTGGAGCTTGGCCCGAACTTTGCTCTAAAATCGAAAGGTGTCCATCATTTTTCGCTTAGCTGGAATCTCCGAGTCTGCCCAAGAAATAGTTGAACCTGATGCCAATTAATTAAAACCCGGGTTCAAGGTTCAATTCTTTGTCCCACTTAGACCACAACAGACCAGATCTAAAAAAGACCTGATAGCATAATTGGCTAGTGCACCTGATGAACATAGTATGCCTGGAAGATTTGGAAAGCAGGAGATCCCCGTTTGATCTGGGGTCGGGTCATTCTCTGTGAGCCTCCGTTTTCCTTCAATTTTGCTTCTAAATGGCTAACACTTCTCTGGACTCGTTCTATTATCCTAACGCTAGTCCTCCTTGCTCAGATCGAATGCAAACCATGGATTATTTGAGCAAGCCACAATTTATTGTCTATTGAACCAGAGTTGGACTCTTCAACCTCACCTTGGTACGACTTATACCACAGTAGACTAGGTATGAGGAAGACCTGATAGCATAGTTGGCTAGTGCACCTGCTCAACGTGTACGCGAAGTGACAGTTTAGGCACGAGATCCCCGTTCGATTCGCAGTAATTGTGTTTGATCTGCTGCACCCAGTTAAGTGGAGAAATCACCCCTTTATCTGCCCGATGTCGTTTGTATCAATTAGTGTTCCGGCTGTTGACAACTTTAACGAAGAGATCACAGGTCCTATATTTTGATTTGATTTGGTGTGAAAAATTCTGAATTGCTTTGTATATGTCTCTCACGGAATTTGGAGAAAGGCTATTACCATCACCATTTAATTGTGTTTTTCCCGAGTGCACAGCTTGCGAGCGGGATGATCTGTGTTGAAGTGGCTGGACATCGCTCTGCTGCAGATGAACAAAGTATAGCCCAAGTAGATGTTCTATGAGGCTACATGTGAGATCTTCAAGATGTGTAGTGCACTCATGGTTACATGATCGATGAACAGAGATGCATACACATTCCCATCATCAGTGCAAATTAGATAATTTTGTGATGAACCAATGGATGTTGAACTTCCCACATACACTGAGAATAAAAAGATCTTCCTCCCAGTTACATGATCGATGAACAGAGATGCATATGCTTCGGGCTCCCATCATCAGTGCAGAATCAGGGGGATAATCATATGATGAGCCAATGAATGTTCAACCTCCCACACACATGGATGATAAAGAGGACCGTGTCGCCAGCACAGTCCACATTCTTGCCCATCAGACCAAATGCGTCCTCAGCCCATTGCCACTGAAACCCGATTCAAGAACATTCTAAAATGCTTCACTATAGCAGTGGATACCTTGGAGGTCCTTACCACTACATTCAAGACTCCTTTCTTGGAACCAATTTCCAACACTGTCAAGTCTCTGATGACTGCTGTGCAGGTACAATTTTTAGTATAGATCATAAAATGTATCTCAGTTTTGCCAGACTGTCAAGCAAAACAAGAGTGATTGTACCCAATTGTTGGAGCAAACCTATGGGTTGCTCTGTGCAATTGTTTCTCTGCATATGAAGGTGGAGGCTGGTTCAGATTTGACACCAAGCATACTGAACGATCTCGGAAAATTCACAGAGTATGTCCCTTCCCGGAAATAAATTGTTGCTGATGGCATGTCTGCAGCACACTCTACAAGATCCATACATTTGTAGAGGCCCAACAGGAGAAAAGCAAGATCAGGCACTTTTTCCGTCAGGGAGAAATGAGTAAACTATTCAAGGATTGTAACTTGGGTTTACAAGAGGCACTAGATCAATTCAAGGTGGAGTGGTTTGGTGTATCATATGGGCATGCCAGTACTCAACCTGAAAAAAAAAACAGCTTCAGGATATCAATCTCCTCACTGAGGTTGTAGTGATGCAGAAATTTGCTGAAGACAGACACCGAGAGGTTCTGGAGTTGATTGAAGCCTTTTCTGATGGGGCTGCTTCAGACAAAGGATCATTGGTGGGTGGAGCTTGTATTGTGGGTGCAGCGAGAAGTAACTTTCGTGTAGACAAACAGGGTCCTTTCCAGCTCTTACAACAGGTATGGTCCAAACGAAGACTAATAAAATTGAAGCTGATTCTATTCTGATCAAGCTCGGCCTCAATTTCCATGCTGCCATCTGAACCAAAAATCTTCCATGGGCGAGAAGCTGAACTTGCAGACATTCTCAAATTGTTCATGCAGGAGACCCCGAGGATAGCAATCTTGGGTGCAGGTGGAATTGGAAAGACAAGTCTCGCAAGAGCCATTTTGCATCATCCAACAGTCACTGGGAAATATGCCCAGCATCGTTTCTTCGTTGTTTGTGACTCAACATTGAGTAAAGATGAACTGGTTATTCTCATTGGGGCCCATTTGGGGCTGAAGCCAACAAAAAATCTTGCCAAAGTGATTTTGCATCATTTCATGACCAATCCAGCCTGCCTCTTGATCCTGGATAACCTGGAAACACTGTGGGAGTCTATGGAAATTCGTCGAGACATTGAAGAATTTTTATCTCTGGTTACAGATATAAAACATCTTGCATTGGTTGTGAGTACTGGTACCTTCACCTTGGTATGGTAGCTTATTCTACACCAGATCACAATGCGGGGAACAGAGAGACCAACCTCAGTGCGCTGGAGTCGACCTTTCCTTCCAGCATTGAAACCCTTGGCACAGGATGCTGCCCGACAAACCTTTATCGATATTGCAGATGATTGCCATGACAGTGATGACATTGACAAAGTTCTCCTCCTAACTGACAATATGCCACTTGCAATTGATCTCATGGCCCACCTGGTAGAATCCGAGGGTTGCCCCAATGTTTTGGCTCGTTGGGAGGAGGAAAAAACCTCAGTGATCTCAGATGGCTACAACAAACACTCAAATCTTGATCTATCCATTTCAATGTCTCTAGCAAGCCCCCGAATTACATCTGTGCCTCATTGCCAGGAGCTATTGAGTCTCCTCTCAATTCTCCCTGATGGCCTTTCAGATATAGAGCTGGTACAAAGCAAGCTTCCAATAAAAGACATCCTCAGTTGTAAAGCTGCCCTATTGTCCACCTCATTGGCCTATAGTGATGACCAGAGACGGTTCAAGGTCTTGGTACCTATCCGGGAACACATGGCAAGATCTTACCCCTCCATTGATTACCTTGTTCAGGCTCTTCTCAATTACTTTCATCAGCTTTTGGAACTTGAGTACAAATATTATGGGACTGTCTCAGCTTCTGAGATGACTTTACGAATCACATCAAATTTGTCAAATATCCAGGGCCTACTTCTCAACAGGCTCCAGCACCAGAATCCTGCAGCTGCTGATACCATCTACTGTGTCACATACCTCAATGCTTTCAGTAGACTTGCTGGTCGTGGCCGGACTCCCTTGATGGACCACATTGCTCATACTCAACCTCTCCCAAGTGGACTGGAGGTCTTTTTGATTGTGGAGATCTTCAGTTCTTGGCAATATCATCCAGTTCTCAATCCAGAAGCACTGGTTGACAAAGCAATAAAACAATTGCCTCACTTTAATGAATCAGATATTAAATGTAAGTACTCAAGCTATGTTCCTTCTTCATGGGTTAAAACAGGTCCAACAGGTAAATTCTACAATGTGTTAGGAGAGTATTATGTGCGCCACAAGAATGATATTCCTACAGCTACAAATTACTATCGGACTGCACTTTCTCTGGCAATTTCAACTGGGAACACCAAAAGACAGTGTGAATCATCATCATTTCTTGCACTTATTAAGTGCCAGATAGGTGATCCAGCTGCAGGCCAAATGTATGCATCTGAGGCACAGAGGCTAGCAAATATTTCTGCAGACTTATACAATGAGGCACGGGCACTAGATATCGAGGCAATGTGTTGCCAGGCACTTGGGAGCTACACATATGCAGCCTGTCTCTGCAACAGGGCGAGAGATCTCCTAGCTCATTGCGGGATGCTCGGTGGTACCTTGGACTCTGGACTCCTCAACACTCAGGCAGAAATCCACAAATCAAAGTCAGAATATGTGGAGGCCAGAAATATCCAGACAAAAACCCTTCATGCACATCCTATTGAGCTTGTACCAATCCATCATGCCTTCACTTTGCTCAATATGGCAGAACTTGATATCCTGCTTGGCGCACCAACAGATAAAGTGCAAAGAAACATTGATACAGCAAAATCCATATTCATTTCCATCAACCATTTGGTCTATGAAATGACCTGTGATACTGCCATGGGAGCCCTCCATCTGAGAGAAGGGAATCTGATGTATGCACAGTCACTTTTTCGCAAGTGCCTGTCATTTTTCTGGGGAAATCAAGCTGAAATGGTGCACAATTGTCTAGAGAGACTTGGTGATAGAAGTCTCTGGGATTCAACAGATCAGTCCTGGACAATAGTATATCTTGTGCATGCCTCAAAGTCAAACCGAAAGCTAGACCTTCACAAGGCT